AGTTATCAATGTATGGGTAAGACTTCGTGGTGTAAAATACTGGGCTGTTTCCAAGGTGTGCTTCTAGCTTCTGCTGAGGTTTGGTTTTCCTTAGCCACCCTCCCCCCCCCCGCAACAGGCTAGTTTCTTTTATTTTATTTTTTTAAATTTATTTATTTAAAGGCAGAGTTACAGAGAGGTGGAGGCAGAGAGAGAGAGAGAGAGGTCTTCCATCCGCAGGTTCACTCCCCAGTTGGCTGCAATGGCCGGAGCTGCGCCGATCTGAAGCCAGGTTTCCCACGTGAGTGCAGGGGCCCAAGGACTTGGGCCATCTTCTACTGCTTTCCCAGGCCATAGCAGAGAGCTGGATGGGAAATGGAGCGGCCGGGACTCGAACCGGTGATGCCGGCACTGCAGGCAGTGGCTTTACCCGCTACACCACAGCACCTGCCCTGTTCCAGGCTTCTTGGAGCCAACTCTCCGGGGAGTGGCTAAACCACCACCTGGGGGAAAAAATTGAATTTCGTTTACTCGGCGGCCCAGCACGGAGCCCCGTGCTGTGAGCCACAATTTTCCCTACAGTTAAGACCCTTGCTGGCTAGCACCCAACGGCGCCTGCCCAGCGGCTTCCATGATTCCCCGGTTTTCCGGAACGCCCTGACTAGCAGACCCGTTCAACCGGGCCTGCAGCTTCCGCGTGGTCCGAGTGAGCGCCGCCTGAGGGCAGGCCGGGGGTCCCGGTCCCGCGGCCCGCAGCGCTGAGCCGCCGGAGCGGGCGGACAGGCCCGAGGCGGCCCGCGCGCCGGAAGCGAGGCATGCTGGGAGGGAGCCGCACTTCCTCCTCAGGGGCCTCAGAAAACCACAGGCCCGGCAGCCGCCCCTGGGGAGCCGGCAGGATGGCCGAGGGCAAGGCGGGCGGCGCCGCGGGCCTCTTCGCCAAGCAGGTGCAGAAGAAGTTCAGCAGGGCCCAGGAGAAGGTAGGCGGGCGGCGGGCGCGGGGACCCTCGCGGGTGGTGGTGGGGAGGGTCTTGGGCATGGAGCGAGGAGTGGGCTTCCGGGGGAGAGGACCGAGGCCGCCATCCGGTCCTGGGCCGGGCAGGGCGAGGCCGAGCAGACGAGACAACAGTCTCTTCTTAGGAACCTCCAAGGCTGACGGAGAAAGGGTGGCCGAACAGTGCCCGCGGCCCGCTGCGCAGCAGGTGTTGTCCTAGCAGTCGATCCGTATGGCAGGGATGCAGAAGGTGGAGGGGCATCGCCCCCAGGTGCAGCTCGGACTGGGAGTTCACTGAGGACCAGGACGTTCCCTGCGTGGGTCTCCCTTTCCCTAGCCCCTCGCTGGCCTCTGGGTGCGGTGCAGGCTGATGGGAGCCCTCGCTCTCGGATCTTGCTGTAGCTTATCTCTGTTTTGGAGTTTACCCCAGCCAGGATGTGAACGAGTAATCTCTCTGAAGATTGTGGTTTTTGCTTAGCAGCTGGTAGTCTTGCTCCATCCAGCACCAGCATTTAGCTGCCCAATGTTAACGTGCCCATCTACATGGTGTGGATGTTCTAACACAGTGTGTCATATCTGGGGAAAGGGAACACCCGGGGGGAGAGAGACAGAGACAGAGAGAGACAGAGAATCTTCCATCTGCTGGTTCACTTGCCCTAACTGCCCCTGGCCAAAGCCAGGCACCAAGAACTCCATCCTGCTCTCCCATGCGGGTAGCTGATACCCAGATGCTGCCTCCCACACGCACAATAGCAGGAACCTGGATTGAGGCAGAACTGGGGCTGGAGCCCAGGCACTCCCAGTATGGGATGTGGACATCTCAAGGGGGCATCAATCTATCCTTTTGCACCCTAATGGCACTTTTATTTCCATCTGTCTAGTATCTTCTTGGTGTCTAACTGGAATCTGCTTCCTGCCTGCACCCTAGTTGACAGGGTGGGTGTGGGAAGACTAAGCTGGAAGACAGAAGGAGGGAAGAGGAGAAAGAAATAGGATAGATTGTAGTTTTCTAAGGGTTCATAGTATTTAGTCACTTGGTTGAGTAGTGCATGCGTATTTAACTGTTGAAATATTTGTATTCTTCTAAAGATGGAGAAGTGGCTTAGACCCTGGGAAGGATTAAGGGCAATTAACCTCTTATGCAATAAGAACTCCCCAAATAGCAACAACCGGAACTGGGCCAGGCTGCAAAGTTAGGAGCCAGGAACTTCCTCCTGGTTTCTCACATGGGTAGCAGGGGCCCAGGTACTTGGGCCGTCTTCCACTGCTTTCTCTGGTGCATTAATTAACAGAAAGGTGGATTGTTAGCAGAGAAGCAGGGACTTGAACCAGTACTCCGGTATGGGATGCCAGTGTCGCAGTTGGCTTAACCCGCTGCACAAAATGCCAGCCCCATAATAATAATAATCTATAAAAGACACAGCAATTGGTTTTGCCTCATTCACCCTCTGTCTTCATCTGTTTTTTTATTATTATTATTTTTTTAAAGATCAACCTTTTTTTTTTTAAAGATATATTTATGTATTTGAAAGGCAGAGTTACAGAGAGGCAGAGAGAGAGACAGAGAGGGAGAGAGAGGTCTTATATTGTCGCTCCCCCTCTTCGTGGAGGAACGACACTAAACCCTGCCTAGGCTTCATATCCGAGTCACGGCACCATTATGCCGCTCCCCCGCGGAAGTGGGGAATGTGGCAGGGGGAACCGCCCTTCCACGGAGGTGGAAGGGGTGGTAGCCAACCCGGGAAGGACCAGCAGCCAACCCGGGAAGGACCAGCAGCCAACCCGGGAAGAACCAGCAGCAAACCCGGGGAGGGCCGAGCAGACGAAAGAACAGCACAGGGTCCTGTGTCGTTCCTCCATGAAGAGGGGGAGCGACATTATATCTACCTGTTCACTCCCCAGATGGGCACGAAGGCCGGAGCTGGGCTGATCCAGAGCCAGGAGCAAGGTCTCCCACACAGGTGCAGGGGCCCAAGGACTTGGGCCATCATCTACTGCTTTCCCAGGCCATAGCAGAGAGCTGGATGGGAAGTGGAGCAGCCAGGTCTTGAACTGGTGCCCACATGGGATGCCGGCACTGCAGGCGGTGGCCTTACCCACTACGCCACAGCGCTGCCCCCTCTGTCTTCATCTAGACAATCATCAACACCATGCTGTTACTTGGACTTTCTCTCCTTTTTAAGTGTGAACTCTTTTTTTTTTTTTAAGTGTGAACTCTTTTTCTTTATTGAACACCTACTATTTAATTTAGGTTTTTGCTCTTTTTTATTTTTTTGACAGGTAGAGTTATAGACAGTGAGAGAGACAGAGAGAAAGGTCTTCCTTCCATTGGTTCACTCCCCTAATGGCCGCCATGGCCGCCACGGCCGGCGTTGCACCGACCTGAAGCCAGGAACCAGGTGCTTCCTCCTGGTCTCCCATGCGGGTGCAGGGCCCAAGCACTGCCTTCCCGGGCCACAGCAGAGAGCTGGACTGGAAGAGGAGCAACCGGGACTAGAACCGCCGCCCATTTGGGATGCTGGCGCCGCAGGTGGAGGATTAACCAAGTGAGCCACGGTGCTGGCCCTTAAGTCCAGAACTCTTAAAACTTTAGGTAAATAATGTCCTTCTTTGGGCTTCAGTCCTGCGTCTGTAAAATGAGATCTTGATAACATTCAGGATGATAAGGACACTGGGTTGAAAGGGGAGGGAACTTCTGTAACCTCAGAGTCAAGTACTTCCTCCAAAGAACCACTCCCTGGCGTAAGCATCCTGTTCTTCCAGCCCTGAACCCTAGAGTGACAAACTTGAATTGCCCTGGGGAACTCCAGGGCTGATAACAGAAAACAAGGTGCTGTGAATCTAGGAGTTAGACATAGGTTCAGGGAGACAATGGACCTGCCGCAGTCCAGGCAGCACCCTAAAGCAAAGGTAAGGTGGGAATGGCTTGTTACTATGGGAGGGAGCTTAGCACAGTCAGTCTGGAGTCAGAGTCCTTAAGAGTTGGGAAGTTATTGAGGGCAAGATAAAGAGGGAGAGAGCTGTACTAGGAAGAAAGGATTCCCTGGAACGGGCTTTGCCTTTTCTGTAAGCACTTGGATGTAATCTGAGTAAGATGGGATGGCTAATGTATCAAATACCCAGTGCCTATTATGGGCCAGGCACAGGGATATAACTAGAGACACTCTCTCTCCCCTTTTGGAGCCAGCGTTCCAACCATATGCTCTCACTTATCTCTTCAATCCTGTAAGCAAAGTATTAGTATCCTAGTTTTAGAAATGGGGAAACAAGGTTCTAAAAAGTTGCTGAATGGGTGCCAGGTTCTGGTCCCAGTTGCCCCTCTTCCAGTCCAGCTCTCTGCTGTGGCCCGGGAGTGCAGTGGAGGATGGCCCAAGTGCTTGGACCTTGCACCCGCATGGGAGACCAGAAAGAGGCACCTGGCTCCTGGCTTCAGATTGGTACAGCGCCGGCCGTGGCAGCCATTTGGGGGTGAACCAACGGAAGGAAGAAGACCTTTCTCTCTGTCTCTCTCACTGTCTGTAACTTGACCTGTCAAATAAAAAAAATACAAAAATTAAAAAAAAAAAAGTTGCTGAATCCCAGGTGTCCTGCCTTTGCTGCCTACCCTCAGGCCACTCCCTTTCCAATCCTCTCCTGATAAGCCTCTGACATCTGGGCCTCCGCACTTCCTGCTGACCCTGTCTTAGAAGGAGCTGAGCTAAGAACGGAAACACTCGGTGCTCTCCTGAACAGCAGGAGTGCAGGTCTGGTGACTGTTAAACATTCCTCTTGTTCCATTTTCCAGTTCCCATCCAAATGCCACAGGAGGCTGGATCTCAGCTGGCCTCACTGTGATTTTACAGCATGAGATAGCTTCACATTTCCAACTACTGCTTTCACCATCTGTTTGTGATTTCTCTGTGGCAAACCCTCAGACACCCCTCCCCCTCAGGAGAGTCATTGTGTACCACTCCTTTGTGGGGCTTTTCCTCTGTTGATTTTTATTCAATTTGTATTCCAGAGAATTCAGCTTACTAAATATTTACAGAAAAAACTCCTTTGTTCAGGGTACTGGGTTGGACTCGGAAGGAAATTTAGAAGTGAGTGAGAGGGATTCTTACCTGCCGGAAGCTTATAGTCCAGTTTTTGCTGTTGTTTTTGAAAGACAGAGTTACAGAAATAGGGAAAGACAGAGAGAGAGAGAGAGATCTTCCACCTGCTGGTTCACTCCCCAAATGGCTACAATATCCAGGGCTGGGCCAAACCAAAGCCAGGAGCCAGGAGCCTTCCACGTGGGTGCAGGGGCCCAAGCACTTGGGCCATCTTCTGCTTTCCCAGGCACATCAGTAGGGAGCTGGATTGGAAGTGGAATGGCTGGGACTCGAACTGGCTCCCATATGGGATGCTGGTGCCACAGGTGGGAGCTTTACCTGCTACACCACAGTGCCAGCCCCCAGAAAAACTTTTTAACATGAGTCCACAATACTGTGCCATAGCTAGGCCCTATCCAGATCGCCTCAACTGGACCAGGTGTGTGGCACAGCAGTTAGGTTGCCGGTTGGGATGCCCTCATCCCATAATGGAATGCCTGATTCCATTAACCCAGCTTCCTGCTAATACACACCAAGTGATGGCTCAAGTACTTGGGCCCCTGTCACCCACGGCGGAGAGCTAGATGGAGTTCCAGGCTCCTGGCTTTTGGCCTGGCCCAGCCCTGGACATTCTGATCATTTGCAGAGTGAACCAGTGGAAGGAAGGTCTTTCTCTGTCTCTCCCTATCTCTCTTGTAAGTCTGCCTTTCAAATAAAGAATACAAATTTACAAAAAAAAAAAAAAAAGAAGTAATAAATGATTATAGGGAGAAAGTCATTAAAGCTTTATTTCCCCCATCTCAATCTACAGAAAAGTTAAAATAATAGATTAGTCAATAACAGAATATGTTTTCACCCAAATTCACTAAGTGTTAACATTTTGCCACATTTACTTAACTTGTCCTTGCGCTTATTCTTTCCCTCTAAATATCTGTATTCCAACTTCTCAGCTGCCAGGCCAGACAAATTGGGAGTGATGTTATGTGGACTCTCATTAGGAAGTACTCCAAAAGTAAAATTTATTCACTCTTCTAACAAACGTCCATACACCCTGTTCCCTGAAGCCCGCTGTCTCCTTGCAGAAGAACACCCTCAGCATGGTGTAAATACCCGCCACAAGGACCTACCGCTACCTTAACACATGACTCAGCCTGGAGCCCTGGGGTGTGTTTCTAGGGTGTGATCTTACTCACCTTCAGAGGCCCTTAGCACACACCTTCACACCTTCCAAGCCTTTTAGCCTTGAGCATTTTAGAAACTGGAGAGATTGGTCTGTGCCAGTCATCACCCCCCCTCCTTTGACTGTAGGCTGTTTTGTCTTCTTTCTCTTTTCTGCCCCCTCCAAGAAGAACCGAATCTGAGGCAAAGGAAGGGAGGGGTAACAGAAAGGAAGTAAGAGTTGCAGTTATCACTTAACAAGGTGGTTTTGCAACTTTCTGGTAGAAAACAGTGTTTTGTTAGGGGGAGGGGTGGAGCCAGGCGAGATGGCAGACTGTACCCAGGACTGGAGGCTGAGTGAGATGGAGTTAGAGACAAATAGATGCTGCTAAACCAAAAAGGAAGTACAAGCATTTATATGCAAGAGAGTGAAACTATATATGACAATATTGTATTTGTATTGAGTGCTCACTGTAGGGCCGCACTGACAGTTTACATGCACTGACAGTTTACATGCATAACGTTGGTTAGTCCTAACAACTCTAGGAGATAAATGTGATTTTATCAAGGGAAAAGGAGGTTCTGCAAACTGTGACTCTGGGGTTTAAATGACTTGCCCAGAGGCTTCTAGCTATTGACTGGAAAGGCCAAGATGGAAGCCGGTATCTGTCCAACTCCAGTAGTCCTAGATCTTAACCACTACACAGAAAGCGCAGAAGCAAGGCCCTAAAGCCCTGGATTAAGAATGGAGACACTTGGGGCGGGCTTTGTGGTATAGTAGGTTAAGCCACTACTTGGAGCACCTGCATCCCATGTCAGAATGCTGGTTTGGATACCAGCTATTCTACAACATTTCCAGCTTCCTGCTAATGTGCCTGGCAAGGCTGCAGCTAAAGGCACAAATACTTGGATCCCTGTTGCCCACATAGTTTTAAACTTGGATGGAGTTCCAGTCTCCTGGCTTCAGCTTGGCCCAGTTCTAGCTATTGTGGGCATTTAGGGAATGAGCCAGTGCATGGATCTTTCTCTCTGTCCCCTCTCTCTCTCTCTGCCTTTCAAATAAATATTTTTTTAAAAGGAAACATACATACACACATATGGAGGGAGGGAGAGACTTGACTAAAACCTGATGGGCCTTTCTGTCTTGTATCCCCAGGTACTGCAGAAATTGGGAAAAACTGTAGAAACCAAAGACGAACGGTTTGAACAATGTGCCAACAACTTCTACCAACAACAGGTAACCTGGAGGTTGGGGAAGGGGAGTGTGGGGGAAGCAAGAAGACATGAGGGCTCTCCAGGTGGCCGAGAACACAGCAGCCCACATCTCTGTCAGCTCCTCCCTGCCACGCCACAGGCTGGCCCACTGCTTGTGTCTCCTCTGGGCTATAGGGGACAGAGCAGTGTTCTTTTCTGTTAGTGGTTCTCTTCTAAGGTACAGTGGCATCACCAGGTCCTTAAAGCCCGTGAAAGTGAGCCCCTGTCCCCTTAGTGTTTGTTTTTGTTTATTTATTGTTTATTTCATTTGAAAGAGTGATAGAGAGAGGGAGAGAGTATGAGAGTGCATGCTACTGTCCTCTGGTTCACTCCCCAGATGGCCACAAAGCCAAGGCTGGTTCAAGCCAAAGCCAGGAGCCCAGAACTCCAGAATGCCATCCAGGTCTCCATGTGGGTGTGGGGGCCCAAGTACTTGGCCCATCTTCTGCTGCTTTCCCAGGTGCATTAGCAGGGAGCTGGATGGGAAGTAGAGCAGCCAGGACTCAAAATGGCACTCATACAGGATGCTGGCATTGCAGACAGCAGCTTAACCCACTGCGCTACCGTGCCAGCCCCACCTTCCCAAGATGCCTCTCTCCCACCCTCATTTCCTTTTTGTTCAATCCATCTACCCTACCTAAGCTCTTAACTCTAAGATAATATTCTTCCTTCTGTAGCTTCCACCAATAAACCTCCTATTCTCACTGTTCCTTCTATGTCAACTGGCTGTATAGATTATTTCATGTAGAAAATTTAAGAAGTAGATAATAGGGACCAGTGTTGTGGCATAGTGGGTAAAGCCATCACCTATGACACTGGCATCCCATGTGGGTACCGGTTCATGTCCTGGCTGCTCTACATTCAATCCAGCTTCCTGGAAAAGCAGCAGAAAATGGCCCAAGAACTCACATGGGAGACCTGGACAGAGATCCTCATCCCTGGTTTCAGCCGGGCTCAGCCTGGCTGTTGTGGCCATTTGGGGAATGAACCAGAGGATGGAAGATAACTTTCTTTCTCTCTCTTTCCTTCTCTCTCCCTCTCTCCCCCTCTCTCCCTCTCTCTCCCTCTCTCCCTCTCCCCCTCTCTCCCTCTCTCCTTCTCCCCCATCTCCCTGTAACTCTTTCAAATAAACAAACAAATCTTAAAAAAAAAACACATAACAAAGGTTTCACCTCATGGAATATTTTATTTTCCATCTACCACGTGCAAGGCACTGTGCTGGATGGTTTACATGCATTATCTCATTATTTAGTACCTTAAGTGAACATCTAATTGTGATATAATTCTGACATTATCCAGAGTTAGGCCAAATTTTACAAGTTAAGGGCACAGTCCCCTACAACTGCTCCAGGATTCCCAGGCCACCTGCATATCTGGCCATGTGGGCTACAAATTTCAGCTCAAGTTTAATGATTTCCTAAAATGACTCTCAGAACTCAGGAAAGTACTCTACTTATAATTATGGTTTTTATTATAAAGGTTATAAATCAGGAGCAGCTGAATGAAGAGATATATGAGGTGGGGGCTTCCCAGACGTGAAGCGTCTATGTCTTCAGGACCTTGTCAGCCGCATACACATGGTATAGGGTCACTCAGTGTCCAGAGCTGCTCTTGAGATTTCTTTACGTACTGAATCCCTGGCGTGTGATTGAGCTCAATGTCCTGCCCGCTCCTCTCCCGGGAAGATCAGGCTGATACCATCTTTGTTGAGCTTCAGCCCTCAAACGGTATGGCTCACCTTTCCAGCCTGGCCAGCCACCGTCCTGAGTCATTTGTTTGTCATCAACTTAGGTGTGGTCTGGGGAACCACAGTGAACAATGAGACATGGGTCTTAGCGATTGCTTCCCTGGAACCAGAGGCAAAGAGCAGCCAACTTCCCTTTTATTAGTGTTTATTTTTATTTATGTTCAGCTAACTGAAAGACACTGTGTCAGAGAGACAAAGATTTTCCATCCACTGGTGGACTCCATAAATACCTACAACAGCCAGGGCTGGGTCAGCCTGAAGCCAGAAGCCTGGAACTCCATCTGGGTCTCCTGTGTGGGTGGCAGAGACCCAAGTACTTGGCCATCATCTGCTGCCTTCCAGGTGCATCAGTAGGAAGCTGGATGGGAAGTAGACGTGGAACTCAATCTCAGGCACTCAGATACAGGATGTGAGTGTCCCAAGTAGCGGCTTAACCCCACAACGCCACTGCACCTACCCCCAGCCCAGTTCTTCATATGCAATATCAGTTCGTTGAGCTATTGGAAAATAATTTCTTACGTTATAGTAAAAGGATATTAGCTATCATCTAATTCAGTAGTTGACTATGTATCACATACTTTGGGGAAATACTTAAAAATGCAAGGTCTCTGCCTGGAAATCTTTTAAATGGAAAACTTCAAATATGTCCAAAGGGAGAGAAGCTTATATAATGAGCCACATGTATTTTATCACCAAGCTTCAGTAATTTGTCAATTCACAGGTTGTTGTGTTTCATCTGTGTCCAGGCTCACTTTTCTCTGGTCTTGATTATTGTGGGGAGCAACTTGGACTAGACTGTTACTGGAATTAAGACTTATTCTATGCATCTGCTCTCCCACAATATGGCGCTGAGAAGGGAGTAACAACTTCTACACAGCTGCCTCTCGCCAACTTGAGTGATGACCTGCAGGAGCTGATCCTGCTCCTGATTGGAGGAGAGCAGCGTACTCGGCGTATGGGTAGCAGAGTTGGGATTGGCGGAAGAGGACTATAAAGGAGGAGAGAGACAACATGCACCAGGAACATCTATCTGAAGGAACATCTGAGCAGCCCCCGAGAGAGCCGGCCGGCGGTGTGCCGCTCCCCCGCGGAAGTGGGGAAAGTGGCAGGGGGAACCGCCCTTCCACGGAGGTGGAAGGGTCGGTAGCCAACCCGGGAAGAACCAGCAGCAAACCCGGGGAGGGCCGAGCAGACAAAAGAACAGTGCAGGGTCCTGTGTCGTTCCTCTGCGAAGAGGGGGAGCGACATAATGGTGCCGTGACTCGGATAGGAAACCTAGGCAGGGTCTAGTGTCGTTCCTCCACGAAGAGGGGGAGCGACAATTATGATGAAGCCAATTCCAAAAGCTGTATTATTTTCCTCATTAAAAGTGTATTGTCAGGGCCGGTGCTGTGGGGTAGTGGGTAAAGCCCACCATATGAGCACTGGTTCGAGTCCTGGCCACTCCACTTCCAATCCAGCTCCCTGCTAATTTGCCTGGGAAAGCAGCAGAGGGTGGCCCATGTGCTTGGACCCCTGCACCCACGTGGGAGACCAGGAAGCAGCTCCTGGCTCCTGGCTTCGTCTCGACCCAGCTTCTGCCATTGCAGCCATTTAGGGAGTTAACCAGTGGCTGGAAGATCTCTCTTTGTCTCTCTTTCTCTATCTGGACTCATTCAAATAAATAAATAAATAAATCTTAAAAAATTTTAACCACACTGGGGCTGGCATTGTGGTGGTATGTGTTTTCCCAAGCATGTTATCAGGGAGCTGGATCGGAAGTGGAGCAGCCAGGACTCAAACCAGTGCTCATGTTGGATGGCCAGCATTGCAGGCTTGGCTTAACATACTGCACCACAATGCCAGCCCCTACAATTACTTTCTTCTGTATGTGTATTATATCTAAATATATCCACAGTAAATGAATGTGAGGTTTATAGAAGTGAGATGATTCCATGTATATGCTTTTGCAACTTGCTTTTTTCGGTTAACATGATACAGGTAACCTTTCAGATATTTTGGATTAAATATTGTACTGAAACATTTTGGTGCTGTCTTAAACAAAAACAACAACAAAACCCAAAGCATTTCAGGCTGGTATTGGGTATAGTAGTTGAGGTGCTGCTTGGGACATCTGTATCCAGTATCAGAGTCCTGGGTTTGGGACTCTGCTTCTGATCCAGCTTCCTGCTAATGTATACCTAGGAAGCAGCGGTGATGGCTCACGTTAGGTCCCTGCCATCCACGTGGGAGACCTAGATTCAGTTCTGGGCTCCTGGCTTCCTCCTGGCCCAGGCCTGACTATTGTGGACATTTGGGAAATAAGTCAGTGGATGGAAGATCTCTATTTTTAGCCTCTGTCTCTATCTCTCTGCCCTTCAAATAAAAAAAAGAAAGAAAGAAAAGGGGCCAGCATTGTGGTGTAGTGGGTTAAGCTAGTGCCTGTAATGCTGGCATCCCATGGTTTGAGTCCTGGCTGCTCCACTTCTAATCCAGCTCTCTGCCAATGTGCCTGGGAAAGCAGCAGAGGATGGCCTAAGTGCTTGGGCTCCTGCACCTACATAAGAGACCCAGATGAAGCTCCTGACTCCTGGTTTCAGCCTGGCCTAACTCTGGCCATTGGAGCCATTTGGGAAGTGAACCAGCAGATGGAAGACCTCTCTCTCTCTATATATATATATCTCCCTCTCTCTGTCTCTGTACCTATGCATTTCAAATAAAATAAAATAAATCTTTAAAAAAAAAACCAAATTTTAAGACAGCATCATTCCTTAATATCATAAAATACCAATGTTCAGATTTCCCTGTTATAATGTCAACAGTTGTTTACAGTTTAAGTGAACAATTTGTTTACATGTTTACATCTCTGAGATTAAGGTTAATTCTCTTGATCTGTGCGTTTCTAATCTCTCCCTTATTGCAGTTCATTTGTTCATACACAATAATTTGTTCACAGCCTATATTTTCTGATTGAATCTCCATAATGTTGTTTTGCTTTTTTAATTTGAAAGAGAAAGGAAAGTGAGAAGGAAAGAATAGGAGAGAGAACTCCCATCTGCTTGTTCACTTCTCAGATGCCCACCATAGCTGGGACTGGAGCCAGAAGCCAAGAATTCAGTCCAGGTCTCCCATGTGTGTAGCAGGGACCCAACTTCTTAGCCATCACTCCTGGCTTCCAGGCTCTGTGCTGGCAGGAAGTTGGAGTCAATAGGCAGAGCTAGGAATTGAACCCAGGCACTTTAACATGGAACACAGAT